TATAAGTGTAATGAAGATTAGGAGTTGTAGTGTTAGGTGATACGACAGTCCAGGGGCTATTGAACGGATCACGGGTAGGGCAGATCAAACAGTTGCGCTTCAGAGCAACGGAGATGGGTGACTTTTGCATCAACAGAGTGCTAGTAGTCGAAACTGAAAGGTATTAACTAGGTCAGCAACCAAAATTACACTTCAGGCCCGTTTAGCGCAAATACGAAGCATTTAAAGCAACAGTCCAGGCAGGGTTTCAACTACTTGGTCATTAGGCGGTCAAAACATGCCCCAGCCCAACTAAAGTTTATAGGAAATGTCTTTAAGTTCAAAACCTACCTCTAAAATGCGCTGGAAGGGGTCGAAGTCCTCTTGGAGGGGGCGGATCACCCATACCGAGGCGGATCGCCCAACATACGCTGTGCAGACAACTCGTCCAACACACGTCTCCCTAAACGGCAGGGGGAGTCCCTGTCTAAGCCCCTGCCCGACGTTTTTTTCTACTTTTTCTTTCTCCATTGACCAACTTCTCACCTGCAACGTCATTATAGGTGGTCCTTACCCGCGAATTCGTTCCTGGATTGTTGCTTTAAACTTTGTTATGGAGGAGATGTTAGAAAAAAAATCTCGACACCTTTTTCTAGGGACGTGGAATTTCCTTGCAACAAAATTTATAAAACAACACGACGACAAACAACAAACCCTAAGCATAGGGCCTTTCTGATGAAAAAATGGATTCGACAGCAAGCGATTTTTTAAAGAAGTAGCCAGGCCAGTCTTCCGAGCCGAATCACGGAAATCACTAAGAGAGAAGCTGAAAGATACTGTGAAAAAGGCTTTGAATGGTTGACGAAAATGTGGTTCTACTGGAAGGAAAATGGGAGAAGATGCCTCACTAAGAAATGAGCTCATCAAATGACCGCATCTTTGGGCCTAGATAATGTATCAAGAGTTTAGCGGGTTTTCAACGTGCTAGACTTACTCTCAGATTTTTCGTCTCCCTTAAATAAATTCGAAAAACCTATAATTTTTTAAGCGCAGTTTAACCTGAACGTTGATACTTATTGCTGAGATCAGAAAACACTCGGTAAGTAACTGGTGCGAACTTGGAAAAAAGACCTTCATGAAAGAGGACCTCAAAAATCGCTTGTCAATTGATTTTTGGCCGCTACTGTGGATTAGGCACGAACTCTTGCGGGCTTAGCGTCGCTGTGACGCGTTTAAAACGACCCCCCAGATCGACTTGGTGGGGTGTAGAAGCAGGCGATTAGAAAGTCGTGGATGCCGAGTTGACTGCAATGAAAAAAGGATTAAAGAAAGGTGCTAATTGGATTGGGGGGGGGGACCACGCGGCGGCGCGGCACTCTGCTCGCCTGGCATCTTTGCGTACTTCGGGAAATCCGTGAGCCAGGGGGGTAGGCAGTCTAGGGGGGGGGGGGGGGCAGTCACTTGACATGCGTGAAAAGCTGGAATGTTCGAGTTTACACTGTCTCGCTCGAGAGAGTGCCAGGCGAGAGCAGAGCGCCGCGCCGCCGCGTGGTTCTCCCTACCCATTTAGCACCCAAAGAAAACAGCAGACGAAGCCCTTGAACAAGGACTCTTCCCTTTCCCCTTGAAATAAGGAGGGGGTAGGGCCGGACAGCTTTTTTTTAGTTTGCTCCACCAGCAAGAAATGCGGCTGCAATCGCAAACGCACCAATACAAATAAAGGAACACGGTAATTTAACAAATTGAAACCAATCAAGGAAGCAGCAGCATTCTTCCAACCCGCAACAGTTCACACGCGATCACGCAGGATCACGCAACCGCGCAAGGACCGCGCAGGGTATCTCGAGATCGCACACGGCTAGCAAGTGGGCGGACCCGACACACGGCGGATCTGACGAGTTGGCACCTATCCAAATCCTCATTAGCGGCTTTCCAAGGTAAGTTTTTGCTTCAGCGACACTTCATTTGTTTTCGACAAGGGCTCACGCATCTTGTCATTCCATTAGTAGCCAAAATATGAACCTATCTGAGGTGTTGCTCTGAAGCAAGAACCCCAGATGAGGTCGGGTCGAGGACTCTTTTCTGTGCGTGGGATAGAGTAGCTCACGAGTATCACAAAGTGCCAGTATCACAGACGTGCTAGTATCACAGCTCGAAGAAACGTTTTTAACATATCAAATGGATAATCAGGAACAATTGCGACTGGACAGGGTCAGCAGGGTGTGAGAGGGGGTGTCGGCTACCATTTGCCAACTTAAAGGACGAATTGACGCTGAAAAAGCAACCTATT